GGAGCTCCTCCATGTTGCTGCTCATCCACAATGGAATTGGGAAAACGCCTTGTGACCCATCTTTGCATGGGTGCGAATCCATGGGCAGGCATCACAACATGCTGGGTTTTTTTTGTATTTTCCCTCCCTCTGGCTGCTAATTGCCAGTGTGACCCAGGCTAATCACAGAGCACCACCAAGTCCCCCTGCTCTCCATCTAACCAGAGCAATGATGGCTTGCTCACTCCTGTGACTTGAAGTTTGCAAATCTAGACATACCTTCCTGCTCCCAGATCCCAAGCCCATTACACAGGACTGTCCAGACCCTTCCTAGTCAGGATTTTAAATCTGAAGCAGAATGAAACGCTTCTGGCTCCTGTTCACGTTGAGTGAGGGTACTGACTGTGGGACACACTGCTACACCAGGGATATATGGACAAGTATTTCGTGGGCATGTAGCATCTAGTCACTTTAAAGCACAAATACATTTTATCTTCTCTTTCATCTAAGGGAAACCAAATAGGACGTATTTTAAAACCTGTGCTAATGAGCATCTGCTGGCCATGGCTACCTGTCATGATAGCTCGTCTGCCCTCTGGACTGCAGCTAATGGTGACAACAACAGACAAACAAGTCCTCCCTGTTGCATGAACAAGTTTCAGCGTAATGTGGTTTTATTATTCATAGTTCCTTGTCCCTCCTGCTTTTCACTATTAGACCCACTATCTTACCTTTCTGTGAAGACCTACTTCAGCTAATGCCCACATCTTCCTGTTAGTATTCCAGTGCGAAGATCCCGTCTCCTTCTGACGCCTCTTAAAATGATTAATTTTGACGTGATGGATGCATAAGTAATTCCTCCTTTGGCCTTTCACATTGATTTTCTGTGTTTTCATTAAGGTTAATGCTCCTCAGATGAAATCAACTCTATTATCATTCTATTAGTTTGATTTTGGCCCAGTAGCATTTCCATCGGATTTTGAACACTGAAGAACCCATAACTATCACAAAGCTCCCGTAATAAAATTGGATTCAGGGAAAAAAGCCCATAAATCCTACTGTTGCAAGGAACCAATTAAAAGGCAATAAGAGATTGCATCTGCTGGGAATACTTGTAATTGATGAAGAAGGTTGCAACCAAGCCAATGAATACCACAACAGATTTCAGACAGCTCTTGTGTTACCTGAAATGATGGATGAAGCTGCGTGGAACATGAGCTATAGCCAACAGAAAACAAGAATACGGAATCTACAAGAGTTAATTAGAACAACAGCCGCAAACAGCAAAATAAAAGCAACTCCTCATTTTAATTACAAGGGCAAAAAAAGGATAGTTTTTCCTGGTACTAAGAATTCACTGACAGCATGACATGAAAAATACACCGAGGGAGTATTTTCTTTGGCCCAGGAAACACCTGCAGGCATTTTTCTTGTGTATATTTTAAGAATATTCATCAAGTGAGAGTGAAATGTACATCTTACATTACTGAGGCCTCTGTTTTGAATTAATCTGCTCCACAATAGTTTCTATTTCAGGTTTGAAGCAAAATATTGAGTAAAATACTGAGTCGCCAAACTTGTCATTTCTAATTCCACTATTGATCTGTTCAGTGTGTTTTCTCCTCTGTGATTTGGATCTTTATCCGCAGGATTATTTGGAGAAGCACTTCTTTAGGGAAGTAGGTTGGCAAGAGAATTTGTCATGTACAAGTACCAAGTATCTGCTATAACTTTCTCCTGTAGAGTTGTTCCATTCTCCTGAGCTTAACATCCCAAGATGACATAAACTATATATGTTAATTTTACTGCCCAAGCATCTCTCTCACAGGTTATACCACCCTTTTCATGGTCAGAACTTCTGAGTACAGAAGCATTGATCAGCCACATGTGACCTGATCTTTACCTTAATTTGGAAGAAAAGCATTCCTGTCCTGTACCTGAAAAGCTGTGCTGCTCTCCATTAGCCATCGCTGATGGACAGCAGTAACGCTTGGACTTGTATCACAGCTTGACTTACTTTCTTTGAGAACGGTCTGTGTGACCTTGTCTGAACTTGGAGGCCCAGTTTTCCAAGTACCCTGTGATGCCACAACAGCCATTCCCAAACCAGCAGCCCTCTTCCAGGTGCATGGATATGCTTTTTTCCCCTCATCAGTCAGAGCACTGAGCTGAGATCTTCTCACAGACCCTGTGAGCGCAGTGGAGAGAGGACAAGCAATGACAAAACTGGACGTTTCTTTTAGCTAATCTCCCTTAAAATTGGAATCCAGTGTTTCTGGAAGTGAAACTCCGCCATTAAATAAGTCAGCAATAAAAGCCATGGACCAGTTGCTGTCAGCCACAGAGCAGTCTCGTATTTCTGACAGATGACACAGCTCGTAAGCTGCGTCATGGTGAGCATGACTGCATCACATGCAGCACTCCAGCGAAGGGGTCAGGTGTGCAAGGAGATGCAAGGAGACCCATTTGGACACTGGGTCTTACCTCTCCGGCGTAGTGCCTGTCGGGGAGGGACTGTCCTTTTGCAGCTCAGCAGTGACAGTTGCTTTCTCCATTTCTGGTGTACATGGAAAGAGAGAAAGCCCAGCTTTTAGGACTGATACCATTGTCAATTACAGTCATATCATAATTTGTCCTGACATTTAAGACCTTTCAATATGTATTCTGACTGGGTTGTATTCTGTGATCATCTGCACAACAGGTGTGGAAGTAGCTGTCCTTTTCAAATAAAAAAGATTGTATCGATGGAGATGTGTTAAGTTCTAAACTCACCTTACTCTGTCCCACCTATTTTGGCCTGTGTGTTTTACTAAATCTAATGCTGTTCCCTGTAACTCCTGCAATGGGACACAGTAAATACTGCCATCAGAGCTGTCAGTTCTCTGTTCAGAAATTCCCACTTTGGACTACTTGAAGCTTGCCGAGTGAATTTCTGTTACAGTGTGAATAATTTTTGTTACAGTGATCTTTTACCCTGATTTGCTGTGTTCTGAGTAGAATTCATGTCCTTTTTATTAAATAAACTTTTTTACCATGTTATTAGACTAATGCTAGCATTTTGATCAGACTGCTCACCAGTAGCAGTCTATGATGACCGTCAGTCGTTTTCACTCACACCAGTTCTGTGGGAAGCCCATGGTCCACGTGGTCCTTCGGGGGATTTTAGGTGATTGTCTCCACAAAAGACATTTCTTTCACTTTTTCCCTTCTACTCATTTCTTTTTGCATTAGGAACATACAGTTGTCCGGAGACAAACTCCTGCTTGCTTGCCTTTATTCTGAACAACTTTTTAACAGATTAGTCCCTCAGAGAAGCACACCCCATGGCGAGAGTAAGGTTCTGGGATCAGGCCACCCTGTCTTTTGTTAAAGCCACTACAACTGCTCAACCAAAAATTAATAATAATTGCATTTGGTTATAGTTTTGCCTTTTATGTAAACCTACTCCAGTATAAGTGCTTGAGTGATAAATGCAGTTTCCCTCGCATTTTATCTCCCAGAGGCCTGAGTATTTCTATGGATCACACTGCCGTGCGAAGGAGGATTCAGACTTCCTAACTCTGGCAACCCAACACCTCGGAGACCCCTGTACTGTAACCTCAAATCAGGAAACATTCAGGCTTCGTATAATGTGAACTTGGAAGTGGAAGGGTGAGCTAAAAAGTAATGAAGTGATATTAAAAATAAAATGTTGAACTTTCATATTAAGGTTGTGTGATCATCCCACCCTGCTCCTTCTGAACACCCAGCTCACAGTTCTGGACATCAGAGTGAAGTGGACTGGGCACAAATGGACATCGCTGGTGCCCCTCAGTGAGCCTAACAGACCTACCACAGAACAGGATGACACCGAATTAACTGTAATGAGTCTTGGCATATTTCCTGGCATATTTGCTTCCAGAAATTCACTTATGAATAGCAGAGAAAAAAAAATAAAAATGTTTCCCTACCCCACAGCTGGCAGATCAGTCCAAAACCACTTGGAGGCTTCCTTCCAACTGGGCCATGCCATCATGACCAGCACTTTTGTTGCTTC